TCTTTAGGCTTAGTAAGACTTCATTTTCTTTGAGGAGTCATGAGGAAAGGGAAGGGAAGGGAAGAGAACAGAGAAAAAGGAAAAGAGAAAAAGGAAAAGAAAGGGTATTTGCACTGGAGTTCAGATCAGGCCAAATATGATCTTCAGATACACACAGTACATCGAAAGACACGGACATTATTGGTCAAGAATCTAGAATTATCAAACCTTCCTCTACAAGCAGTGAAAACAGCAAGGAATGGAGATGCTTTTGGAAAATAATTTGGGAAATATCCTAATGATAGGAGCAAATAAGCAATTATATAGATGGAAAGATTCTAGAGTAAGGAATCTGTCTGGGCCAGCTGGGAGAATTGAACAGGCAAACACATTAACCAGGACTGCGTTTCTGCTGGGACGTCAGTCCAGCTTCTGGACTCACATTCGAGTCTTTTTGTCAGCATTGGCTCTCTAAAGGCTTTTTCCATGTTTGCACTGTTGCAATTTGTGCCTTATCAGGCGGGGAGGCTGGACGTGGTTATTTACCCAGGCAGCTGGAGGACAAGGACCCACTTCACCAGAGTCCCTAAGGTCTCGCAGACTTGACCCTCCTTGGCAACTCGCTGCCTGTGTTCCTAGTGCCAGCAGGACGTGGCTAGTGACCTGCACGCATCACTCCCATTTAAAATCCCGTATTTGAAATATGGATGTCAATGCCTAAAGAAGCTCTGCATACAGGGAAACACTCCACCCCATTAGGCAATTAACCACATAATGGATTAATAACTGGTTTGTATTTCCATCACGCTGGGACAGCCATTAACAAATTCTGTTTACTGCCTGGATAGCAGATGGCTCCACCTTCTCGTGCCAGGGATGGAAACATTCCTAAGCTTGGGAAGGATGGGGGAGGGAGCTCAATAATCCCTTAGGAAGTCTGTTGTATTTAAGGAATTGATTTAGGGTTCCCAGGAAATCCCTGGGGAAAGGGGAACTCCGACGCTGAACAGCGTTTGCATAGGTGAGGTTGCCAGTACCCACATAACCCGAGGACACGTGTACCCCAAATCAGTGCTCCTTTCCATAAGAGCGAATCCAGGGACACAGGTTTTGCCAGGATGCGAATCTCTGCGGTGATGCCGCTGTGTAAGCGGCCTAGGAGCTCGTCAGGGAGAAGGAGAGAAATTCACGGGGCCTCCCTTAGCATGTGGGTGACAGGAGTCCACATCTGTTTGACTTCTCTGCCCTGTCTCAGTGAGGTTATTCATGGCATCGTTAGCATTTGAATAATAGCAAATATAATCTTTCCTCTTACCTAATGTTCATGCCCTGTTGAATGATTTCAAAGCAGCTGGTTTCCATTTCCACGGGCAGGGCAACCCCTAAAACAGGGTCACGGGGCCAGTCTTGACCTGGACCACAGCACTCAGGAGCAACCAAAGGGAAACAATCTGTTACGGAGCCGAAATGGGAAATCCGCCCTCCAAGACAAATATTAACGCTAGTCAGGCAGGGGAAGCGCCTGAACTCCTCGATCTACTGCTGTGCTTGCAGGTCTCCTCCCAACGGCTCCCAGTCCCGTTTGAAGGCGCTCCATAAATGCCCGTTGTTTTAATACTTCCCTTAAAAATTCTAAATTCCTGTAAACTCCCAAGATTGCAAGGATTTTTAAAATGTTATTTTATTTAAGTATCTTTTCAGTGTTTAAGCTTGCTTAATGGATAACTGCTTGGTGGCTTTTCACTCTTAACTACTTGTTTGCTCAGCAGTGAGTCATTTTACAATTAAAGCCATTTTCCAGTTATTCTGCTCCACAGTATTTATATATCAGGAAAAAAAATGATTTTGCATAACTGAACAGTTGAAGGAAACACTCGAGGTGCTCATCTGCTCTTTAGTGGCAACAGAAGCTTTTTAAATGCAGCTGTAGAACTTTTGGGCTATTTATCTAGTGGCTTCTGATGTTCAAAATTACTGTGAGCCCCATGAATAGCTCTAAGTCAGCTCTTTTCTCAGCAGAATGACTTTACATCAGTTCATATCTAAAAAAGTCTGTGCCCAGAACAGCTACAGAACAAGATCTAGAATAAGCAGGCAGGAATTTATCTCACAGAAGTATTTTGAGCACCACCCCCTATCTGACATGTCCCAGATAATGAAAGGCTACGTCAAAAATTCCTTCTTAAGTAACCGTAGTGCATCCAACCCAAAAATCAGCTAAGAAACCTTCTTCAGAATCCAGGGAGCAGCCTAGAAGGGTTTGGGGCACTAGGTCCTTAAGAAGATTATAGCGGACAAATACTATGTAACTGCAATGGCAATACTTAAAATAGTAAGTGAAGGAAGTGTCCAACTATTTATTGCTCATTAAAAAAAAATCATTTCAGATTCAGAATCTGTGTATGAAATTCCCCAAAAGACTCTATAAATACCTAGAGGACAACTACTGAGTTAGAATGTCTGTTAGACTAAAAAAATTTTGGACAATTTGGGAAATAAGGTCTAGGTCTCAAACTGAACAGTTGTACCCTGATGTGAACGTATCTTCCGCACCCTTCTGCTTTTCAAGATGAAACTAAACACTATCTCAGAAAAGAATGAAACTTCAAGCCAAGATTTGTCAATGTGACTTCTTGGGCATAAAACGTACCAGGAGGAAATCTCCAAAGCCGATTTTAGGTAGAATAAGGAAAGTTAGATGTGCTGATCTTAGTGCATGTGAAAGTTGGGAAATTTGGGGAAAAAGTCTTGGGAAATTTTAGTGTAATGGAGGTTGGCAAATCTGTGGCACATCAAAACCGGTATCGTACAGAAGGGGTTATTCAGCTTTACCCCGCGGGCTTTAATCTCCCTGCAACAGCCTGCATCTATCGTCACCGCAATCAATGGGGACTTTGTCACTGCTCTCAATGGGCACAGGATGTTACCAGAGCAGCATCTGCACTAGCTCTTCGGCAGGAACACTGTGAAAAAATCATCATTTGTGACTAGGATGTATGTTCCATGTTTTAAAAGACCGGCCTTGAATGTGCTTTGGAAGTTTTACTTATTTGTCTTTCTTTACCAAGCAGTGTATTTATTAGCTTTAGTCACAAAGACAATCTCAAGAGCTTATCGCCAAGGGGACCAGAGCTTCTTTCTAATTTGCTTCTTTATTAAAATAATCAGGGCTTGAAATGAAGTTTTCTTTTAGTCGCTCACAATCTTTGCTTCTTTCATGGGACGTTAAGTAGCGCATTCCCAAGATTTTCTGTGTGCTTTGGTTACTTCTCCATCCATCTGCCTTTGGGAAACCGTTCACTTTCCAAAAACAGAAAACCAAGAAACTCCAGGTAAACGGGAAAAAAATAGTGGTTTATTTTAGCTCAAGAGAAAAATAATCAAACAACAAAAAAGCCCGACCATATGATTTTTTTTTTCTTTTTTTGCTTGAGAGGATTAGGGAAATCAAAGAAAGTTGGTTCCAAACTGTACCTCTCCGGAAAGGAATTCCTATGAAATGCACTTGATTTCTCCAGGTCTGTATGGGTGCATATGATGCACGATTTTAAGCTGCTGAATATTCACACCATGAGGTGACTTACTGTGAAAAGAACAGCAGGCTCAAGGCGAGCTGAAGGTTAATGGGTTGAATCAACATCCTGGCAACCTCCCACGTCAGCAGGTTGACACTTCGTTGACTACTAAACCTTAAACACTTCCACGCTCTGGGATGGTTTGGTGCCCAAAACCCACAAAAATAACTCGCTATCATAGTTTAATCTTCTCTAGCCCTTCCTGATGGATGGCTAAGGACACATGCTGAAGCTAGGAGGGAGAATACAGCTGATAGTGGGGTTATGTGCTAGGAGGGGTATAAAATACACATATGCTGAAAGTTAGTGCTTTTCATTGGTGTCACATGCAGGACTTTGCCTCAACGCAGCTGCAGCAGCTCTGCCTTCCCGCTTGGTGCGGACACAGCGAGAGACACAGGAACACTGCAGGCCTTATTTTCCTTCTGAAAGAAAATATATATATGTATGTATGTATACAAATCAAAGCTAAGCGCTGGAGAACACACCGTGGTAAACATTCTCCAACAGAAAACACGCCGCGTTTGTGTTCACCACAATATTCCCCCACTCAAACCAGAGAGAAACCCCCGTGAAACCGCCTGGGCTTTCAGAAAGAGAAAAGCGGAGCCAGCCGCTCCCTTTCCAGAGGGACAGGGCGACACGCTGGCTCCTCCCGGCGCCGCTCGCTGCAGCGAGTCCCTTCCCGCTGCCGCCATGGCGAGCGGGCGCTGAGCCCGGAGGCGGCTCGAGCTGCAGCCGGGGCTCCTTGTCGGCGCCAGCCCCTCGCGTGGGCGTCCC